TCTAGAGCCTAATTCATTGGCATTCTTTTTTGTTAATTTTTTTTTCTTAGTTGTCAATGGACCTTTGTTTTACTCATTTATATGTGGTGCTGAGAATCAAACCCAGTGCCTCACAAGCACTCTGCCACTGAGCCACAACCCCAGCCCCTCATTGGCATTCTTTTATTCCCTTAGAACCTGAGCTATTCCTCGTTTTGCTTTTCTAAGAAAAATAGGAGGAAAAAATGAATATATTTTTGTGCCACTAACAGCTCCATGTCTTAAATTCCTAAAGATGTTTAACCTTGGTTTCCATCAGCCTTGGTTTTCCTTAGTAACATCCTCTGTCTATACACCTTCTTCTTATTTATAGCACTCAAGAGTCAATTTCTTTCAATATGTACATTAGAAATTTAACAACATCCTGCCAAGAGAACTCACACTCTTAAAATTTCTCTCCACCTCAACAGATGTTCTTTGCAAACCTTACCAGCAGACCTATTGAGGAAATGTGGTATCCAACACGTAATTTTGACTAATAATAAATTTTCCCAAAACAAAGTCAGTGAAAAAGGGAAAAAAAAGAAATGAGATTGCTGGCTTAGAAACATTATCCTGCCAGGAGTGGTGGCACATACCTGCAATCCCAGTTACTCAGGAGGCTGAAGCAGAAGGATTGACAAGTTTGAGGCTTAACCTCAGCAACTTACTGAGACTCTTTTTCAAATTTTAATAAATAATAAATAAATAAAAAGGTTCAGGGATATAATTCAGTGATGAAGTGCCCCTGAGTTCAATCCCCAGTACCTCAAAAAGACAAGAAAAGAATAAAGAAAATATATTCTATGTGCTTCATAGGATACATGTGCTATCTACATAATAGCATTGCCTACAGTGATTTTAGGTAGGGTGGTGGGAAACGGACTTAATGTGTAAAGAATGATGAAAATAAGATTAGGGGAAGGAAAAAAAGTAACCAGTGTAATTTAAAGGTGTGTTGTTATCTTGAGATGAGAAGGGATGACCCTAGATATTTGAGGAAAGGGACCTATAGTTAGGGGAGAAGATAATGGCAGTGTGGGCACTCCTTTTCTGGATTTTCCGTTAACTACTGTGGCCTCAGGAACTGGCTTAATGACTTTTCCAGGATTTGGTCTGGCACTTTATCAGTTCACTATGACAAGAATATGAGCCAGGAAAGCCTGAAAAATTGCTGCAGAAAACATGCCCTTCTGCCAGGCTGCTGTGTGCAGCTCTGACCATGGGTGCCGAGCCTTCAGGGTCACGCTGTAGCTAGAGGACAATTCCTAAAGGTCAAATGAATAAAAAACAGTCAGGGAGTCTGAGGGAAAGGAAGGGGTGTCTGGACAGAGGCATATTTTCTTTGTTTCCCTTTGCTCGTGTTGGCTGCTGTAAAATGCTCAGTTAAACCTAATTGAATTTGACAATAATAAATTACATATTGAAACTGTAGAGTTCACCTAAGGAATAGCAATGAAAACAGTGAAGACACCAGAAGCCAGAGTTCAGGAAATGTCATATTCACATAGAAATGCTTTAAATTTTTCTCAGAGCTTTGTTCATTCTCTCTCTCTGTCTTCCAGAAAAGCTCCAGACCACCCAGTGCACAGAGTCCTTTCTGGAAACTATACATAAAATCATCACTTTAGTTCAGCTTTTGCCCCTGTTGTCATACTACATCTTTAAGCCTGTAATTAAAGAAGCAAATGAAATTTAAAAAAAAAAAAAAAAAGAGCAAAATAGATAAACTCATCCCTCTCACTTGTCCTCAGGAGTTGGTCATGCCCTAGTGGAGGGGGTCTGTAAAAGTTCCAAAGTTGTAAGAACAGTTAAATATAAAAGGAGCATCTAGCACTTGAATGCCTTGTAAAAATACAGTTTCTGCCACATGACTTCTCCACAGGCCAGGGGAAGCCAAGTTTAAAGAAATGTCTCCGTGTCTACCTCTCATCCAGAGCTTTGTGCACTCTACCACCTAGACCCTGTCACTGTGCCTGTGCCCCAAACCTTGCAAAATGAACCATGACTGGATCTTTACTATAGAAGATACCATAGGAAAAAGAAATTTCTTAAATTTCTTCAGGAACAGTTAAGTACAAAACAAGATAGGAAGTCCTTAATCTTTCTTTATAAGTTGGTTGGGGATCCAGGGGTGCAGCTCATTTGTCTAGCATGTGCAAGGCTCTGGGTTCCATCCTAGCTCTGGGATTAAAAAAGCTGATTGGAGATAAGCATATTGACTGGGCACAAGCAGATGTCAGCTTAGTGGTGCTGGCATGGAAGGCCACTGTTTTGTTCTGATGGGACCTCATCCTCTTCTTTCTCAAGGGTTCTTGGTCTAATTAGATTTCAGGGAGACAGAGCCTTGGCAGAAGGTTGAAGGGAGCAGCTAGCCTGCAGTGTAAGAGCTGTGCTCAAACTAAATTGGGAAGTTTAACCGGGCTCGTCTCTGGTTTCAATGAAATACTTTCACAGTGTATGGTAGCAATGTCTGTTTCTAAGCTTTTGAAAACCATTTTTCTTTTTCCTTAATTGTAGTTCCCTGGTTGTTTTTATATTATGAGCTACTTGTAGAAAAATACAGGAAACATAATTACAATACAAAGCTCCCTTTCCCAAGCCTACTGAGATCATTTGAAGCCAAACTGGGTTTTAGGGTTTTGCTAACTATAAGTTCACAGCCATGAATTGCATCCTATGCAGTGCTGGTTGATTTACAGCCAGTGTTATGTGATTAAACAATAAGCATGTTTCTCTGAGCTGTGTAGCTGCTATAGGATGGAGGGAGGGGAGGGACTGGCCCTGTTGGTTGCTTCAGGACTGCACACTGCACAGCTTCCTTTGGGGAAAAAGAATGAATATCTTTGTGTGGCTCTTATAGTAAAAGAGAAGCACTGTAAAAGTATATATACACATTTATTTAGGGGAAGGAAAGAGAAATAAATTATTTGGTTTGTTTTCCACTTACATTGGTAGCTCATGTAGCACTGTGTTAAATTGCTAATTACTAATTTTTGTATCCTACCTTTCCTGAGGAATCTGAATATAGGCCAGCAAGGGGGAAAAAAAAAAAAACTTGTTAACACTCTCGGGAGGAAATGGGTACTTCAGTGTATTGTGAAATGCAAAGCCTTTGGGAGTTTGATTTATTCAAGCCTAAAACACAGTGATGGATGATTGGGAGTGAGATGGCTAAATGTCCTCTGCTAGAGCATGGTTTCAGACATGCTTCCATTGGAGAAGGCTGAGCAGAGAAGGTGAGCACCCAGTGGGCAGTGCCAACAGGCCCCACCCCAGCATAAATCTAGAACAAAGTCCCCATGCCTGCCAAGTTCAGGGGAATCTGAAGCAAGTAAGCAGGAAAGGCTTCCAACTGCAGCTTGGTTATCTGTTACTTTCACTTGATGTAACTGGTTTTAGACATTTTCTTTCTGTGTGCATCTTGAGTATTGCTCACCTTAAAAATTGCCTCTTTTCATACCACCTGCATGTTCTGCTGCCTATTTGAAGATTCATATATTCTGTATTATTTGATGAAAACATAAGAGTATGAAAGAGCTCAGTGTTCATCTCTTCTAAAAATGATGTAGCTCAGAGTCTTTGTTGTCTGATTATTCCTTTCTTCCTTCATTCACCCTTCCTTTCCTTTCCTTCTTCTTGCACCTCATCTTGAAATTCTCTCCATAATCTTCAACTAAATCAGTCTTCAGAGACTTGTAATAAACAAATTGGTAAGAGAGGGCTGAGATGCAGGATTAATTTCTTCTCTACCCCTTTCCTTTTACCAGTCTTCTTTCCAAGGAAGACTTAAATGGGTGGAAATGAACTTCCCTTGTTCCTCTAGAACTCTCGATGAAATCCTGGCGTGTTTGTGTTTCCCTCCCTGTAAGGTAGAAGCTGAGCAGGCAGATCAGGAGCCACTGGCCTCCTATTAAAATATATTTTGATAAGGTCCTCTTGGCTGGGATGAGAAACTCTAGTATCAAGAACATGGCAGCCCCCGCCTCTTGTGTAGAGCTGAAGGTTCTTTGAAAAGTTAGCTAGATCTTCCACCGAGTTGCTTGGGAGCATTGGGAGAAAAAGGAAGCTGATGGAAAGGACCGAAGCTAAGGAAGCTTCAGGGCCTCGGAAAGCAATGTTTTCAGACTGCTGGTTGCAACTAGTTAGTGGGTATGAAATGCAGTGGATCGAGATCAGCATTTTCTAGGGAGTAGAATAAAACAGAATAGTAGAATAGTAGACCTAGTGCCCCTGGATGGTAAGGGTAAATATTGCTTCATAAAACTTCAGTTTCGGTTTATAAACATGTGAGTGTGCTGCAGGCAACATGAGCTGTCTTTACCTTGGCCAGAAAATCCCGAGCTGCCGCCTGAGAAGAATTGCTCCAGGCTGCCGGCAGGGAATCGACACTCAACGGGTCCATTAAAGAGCAGCGTGCTGCTTTCTGCCGCCCAGAACCCGGTCCCCGGACCTTGCGCCTCTACTAGAGGAGTCCCGCCCCCGCGTGGCTGGTGGCTTTGGGTGGAATAAGAGCACCCGAGGTCAGGCGCTCAGTGCCCGCGCCACCACCCGAGCCCAGCATCGCCGAGGGGGCGGGGAGGGGGCTCGGGATGATTTACTCCTCCTCTTGTCTGAAAAGTACAGTAATTCGAAACAGTTCTCACAGTAGCATCCCTGACAACTTAATGTTTAAAAAAAAAAAAAAAAGCCATTAAGAGTCGATGGGGCGCGGTGGGGCGAAGGGGGTGGGCCGGAGGAGGTGGCTGGAGCGAGCTGGGACTGATCGCTGTCACGGACGTAGCTGGCTTGAGCAGCACCTTCTTGGGATTTACCGCTCCCGAGAGCCGCAACGGAAGGCGCCCGGAGGGGACCGTAAGAAGGGACAGGGGGAGCCTTGTGCGCTGGGAGGGAGCGCGCGGGCCGACGGCAATGCGACGTGGGCGTTGGGTGTCCGCGCCGAGCGACCCACGCACGCCCGCTTTATCCATCTCTTCCCCTAGGACTTTCTGCAAGGAGACTGCACCAAAGCGAAACAGAAGCTGAACTGGAAGCCTCGGGTCGCTTTTGATGTAAGTGTCGCCTTCACGGGCGGAATCCTCAGAGTCGCCGGCTGCGGGGCAGGTCGGCCGGGGCTTGGGGCAGCAGCTCTGGGTAAGGCCTCGCCCGGCGTCTGCGGTGCCCAAGGCGGGGAGGCGGGGAGGCGGGGAGGGCCGGGTTGGGGAGGAGGGAGGGCTGGGCCTGGCGGAGGCGGCCCGGGGCGGCGGGCGGGGTGCGGGAGGCCTCTCTGGGGCCGCCACCCGGGGTGAGGGTGTCACCCGGAGAGAGTGGCAGAAGCTCCTCCCTCACCGCCCACCCTGTGTCTCCGGTCGCAGGAGCTGGTGAGGGAGATGGTGCACGCCGACGTGGAGCTCATGAGGACCAACCCCAACGCCTGAGCGCGGCCTCAGAGCCCCGGCGCCCTCCGACCTGTCGTCCCGCTTGGCGCCGGCTGGTGCGGGGTTACAGGCGGAGACACGCGCTGGGATGTACCCGGGAGGGGCAGGCAAATCCAGTCGGTACCCTGTGACCCTCGCCGCCACTGCCTTGTCCCCGCTGGCGGGAGCGAGGGCCGCCAGGTTTGTAGCAACCGGGACGTGACACTCCGGGATTTGGCCGCTTTGCTTTTGTCGAAGCCTCCTCTGAATGGTTTTGTGAAATCAAGATGTTTTAATCACATATTCACATATTTACTTGAAATTATGTCACTTAGACAACTTAAATTCTGGGGCCTTTAAATTGTTTTTTCTTATTAAATATGATCTTTTTATGAACTAGCATTAACAGAGTCACTATGTTTTTCCAAAGTTATAAAAAACAGTTATAAGGGCCCCAAACAAAAATGCCAAAACCCATGCCTTGGAATGAAATGTTTCCCCCAGGCTGTGCTCCCTTCAAGCCAGGGCTCCGAAGACCCTGTAGGCTTCCAGAGAGTCCTGAGACATTCCTTTCCCTTCTTGGTAACAATGTTACTCTGGAAACTGATTTCCAGTAGAAGTGAGGCATTCACACCCTCTCTGGTCTGTGCTGACTATAATTAGAAACCACTGGGCTTCCACCATCTCAAAAGAAAGCTTGAGAAATGGGGTTACAAGAAGAAACTTGAAGGTAAGTAAATATTGTTGCAGCATTCCATGCCCCTGGGTTACCCAGAGGTCTTCACTCCTTCCTTTCTTTGGGGTCTAGACTCTTTCACACAATGCTTATTTACAACCTCTTCTCATCAGTACTACATCATTTTTTTAAACTGAATTTTGGTTTATTCATTCAACCCACTTATATTGTGCCTAATATGTGTCAGACATTGTGCTACACACTTGAACTACGTCAGTGTTAATTAGAATTTATAATAAAGACATTTAAGGCCCAGCCTCAGATCACTGGATCCAGTTTCACTGAGTGCATCATTTAGGTGTCCTGGGTGTGACCACAGGCAAATTCTCCTGAACTGTGTATGTACAGTGTACAGCTACAAGTAGGTTGACAGAAATATGTACAGAATACCTCCAGGCAGCAAGCAAAGAGTTGTGTACAGGTGTATACCCCCGCATGAAATACAGTATTTTCCCCTAGAACAAATTAGGTCAGGACTCTTCCCCCCTACACACTTCTCTTCCAAGCAAAATAAAATAAAACTTTACAGCAAATGGAATTCTAGCCTTTGCACATGCGTGTGTGAGTACGGGTGAACTATTTCTGAATGTCTTCTCAGGCAGGTTTATGATCTGGGGGAGGATCAGGGCTCCAACGGCTGGTGTAGGAGAGAGGGCTCTTTGTGTGGCTTCCCCAGTCCCTGTGAAAGCATGCTGGCCTGGGCGGCCTCAGCTTCCATGGAGCAGAACTAGGGCAGCCTGAGCTGGCCCACCCGGTTCTCAGAAGCTGCCCCAGGAGGAGACTTCTCCCAACTCCCAAGCTGGATACTGCTAATTGGAAGCAGATGGTCCCTCAGAGACCCAGCCTCCAGGACTAGGTGGGCTGGTAAGCACACACAAACATATACACACTCACAAAAGCATACACTGTCACACACAAAACACATCCATTCACAAATATACTCACCAACATAACATCTTACACACAAACACTTGCAAACACAACTCAAAAACCTGCTGTCACAAACACAATTATATACATACAAATCTCAGAAATAATCACTCTCCTCTTTGCCTTGACCCTGACAGGCACCTCTTCTCTGACCACCTTAGCCCTTCATCTCACACCCAGAAGAGAATATTTCAGGCGACTTCAGGCTGACAGTAACCCCATTTAATACAATGTTTTGTGGCTTTTTAGCCCAAAGCCATCATAAGCTGGTCAGGGAGGAGTAGGAGAGATTCTAGGCAGGAGTTTAATACAACTCCAGTGCAGCCATTGTTAAATTATACTTCTCAACATAGACTGGAGCATCAGTTTTCGAAGGAACAAGTTATTGTTAATTGCAACCTTCTCATTCTTCCTGACCCCTCAGTTGATGGCAGGGTGGAGGGGGGTTCATTTGTTCTCCTGATGGGATGTATGTTTAAAAGGAGAAAAAAAGAACAGATTTGTTTCTGTATTTTTCTTTCCTGTGGCCATCCTTCAAGACAATCCATATTAAAGGGATTCTTCGATCTTAAATCTCAATTTCATTTCAATGTTTTTTCTTTTGTCCTGTAAGCATTCTCTTTTTCCTGCTTTGTAAATTTGGGCTGTTAATTTTAAATATTATAAAACATCTCCCACCTTGATTTTTTGGGGGGTGGGTAAAAACTAAGTGTTAAACTTTCAGTATGCCCAACTATTATGGCAAAGCAGTCAAACCCATATTTGTTCATTAGAGGAAAGACAAGTATAGATACTTGGGCTGCCCAGTGGCCTTACTTTCCAACTGACCTGCCTGCCAGCCCCAGTTGTGGGCTTTATCTGCCGGCTCTTGAAGGAATTATGAGCCAGCAAGTGAGCTAGGCCCCACCATAATAAACCTGTCACACCTCTGCAGCTGTGTAGGGGCCCAGGGCTGGCTGTGGGGCTGCATCACCTTAAGGAAAGTGCTAAAGTGCTTCCACAGATAATGCTCTGCACAAGATGGCTCCTTAGGAAGCTAGATTGCCTGTCTGAATTGTGTGCCAGGTAAGGGGCAGATCCAGTGCTGTGAACCGATAGAAATCGTTTCAGGCTTCTTTTATTCCCTTTTAATGGCCTTGCCAACACCAACCACCAAACCCCATATCCCTGGCAGCCAAGAAGTTGGTGGGCTGCTGGTGAATACTACTTTTTCTATGCTATTAAAACTAGGAGCAAGAGGCAACATTTAAAAGTTTTTATTTTAAAATAATAACCTTGGAGTTGGTGGTGTAGCTCAGGGGTAGAGCATTTGCCTAACCTAGGCAAATGCATGAGGCCCCAGATACATCCCCAGCAACTAAACAAACAAGTGCATCACTTATAAACAACTTTCTAAGCCCTCCCCCCAAAGCACCTCAAAGCAAAAGGTATTTGTATTTGGCATTCTGTTTTAAAGAGTATCCCAAAGAATCCAATTCATACATGGAATATTTTCCGATCAATCCTGGCACTGTAGCCTTAATTACTCAGAGGATGTCATGAGTAGGGGAGCTCCCATGCGGGTGTCACACAAAGATTGTGTGTGTGTGTGTGTGTGTGTGTGCTACAAACAGATCAGAAAGTCCCAGCATGCCATCTGCACCTCCCCAAACACTGGGATATTTCACAATTGGGGGTACTGAGAATTTTCACAAACAGCAGCGGACAACTGGGACACAAGGCAGTTCTGAGAGGTGGCTCACACCCTACAGTCCTGGCTTCCCATGGGTTCTCAGTATCCTTTGAAAACACAGAGCCTGAGTCTTTTTTGGAAGTAGGGTGTCCCTTGCTCCTTCACCCCTAGTTCCACCGTGTCCCTGTCCCCGCACATAACCTGGGGTTGGTGGAACACATTTTCAGGTAGCATGCCATTGGGGATAAGGCCTGCTACTGGACCACCACCGTTTCGGTGACCCTGGCCTTCGACGCTGCCCAGCAATCTGCAGAGTTCCATGTAGTGGGCTTCTCCTGCGACTCTCACCGGAAGTGACCAGAACCGCCAGAGATCTTCCCAAGGTCCTAGTTAAGAAAGAATATGATGGCAGGGCCCCCACACACACATCCTCAAACGAGTCCTGGGCAAGAATGACTGTTGGGGGCCCTAGATCGAGGCCTGACCTCCGGCCCCACCGCCCACTCCCAGGTTCCTGCCCTTCCTCCAGGGTCAGGGTCACACACAGCAGACGCCCAAGTTTATGCTGCCCCTTTGATCTCTGAATTTGGGGGCCAAGGTGCCCGCCTGGGTGCGCTGCCGAGGTGGCTGCAAAGATCCCCGACGGCCGATGCGGAGGCCTGGGCCAGCTCACTAGCACCTCGACCTTCTGCGAGGCTCTAAATCTCTGGGTGTCCAAGCTTTGGCCTCGAAGGAGAGGCTAAATGGGCCCGCTGACCGCTACGGACCCGGAGGCGCCGCGCGTGCGCATGCGCAGGCCAGGAGTCCCTTAACTCAGGCCCCAGCGGGCTCGGACCCTGCATGTGTACAGTGGCCTGTAGCCTCGCGCTTCCCAACTCGGGGGTCCCCAGAGCAGAGTTGAGGTGAGAAAGCATTGTCATTCATAAAAAGAAAACCCTCACATCTGTGGCCCTGGGCTCACTGGTGCGCGGCAGCCTTCAGGCCAACAGCACGAGGGCAAGGGAGCTGGTGAACAAGGGAAGGCAACAAAATGGGGCTCCTCGGACTCCCGATGCTTCGGGGCGGCACTGGGTCCCTGCTGGCCTGAGAAGAAGCCGCACAGCCCGAAGGCCGGCCAGGCTGGAGTGACGGGCCGCGGGCGAGAGAATGTATATTTGGAAGGGGTCAGGCCCTCGGCTGGAGTCTGGCTTTTTATGGCGAGGAAACTGCCTGGGAAGGGCCCTCTGGCGAAGCCTTCCTGTTGTGCCTCTGTGCCCAGCAGCGCCCGGCGCGGGAAGCGCGCGGCTGCACCAGGGAGAGGATGGCCTTTTCTCCTCGGCTCTGAGGACACGACTCCCGGTAGGGGCTGCCGGGTAGGCCTTCCCTGGAGCCAGCGGACAAATGCTGGAGGAACATGTCACATTATTGTTTTGGCACCAAACACACTGTAAGTCCTGCCCTGCACCTCCCGGATAGTCTATTGACGTAAAGCGGGGCGGGGGGCGGGGGGGGGGGCTAAGGTGCGCGCGGAGTCCCGCAGAGACCCGGGACCGGTGATCAGGGACACCAACCCCTGGGCGCTCTCTGGGAATAGCTAACACCCACACCGCCCTTGACTGGGGAAGCCACATGGACCTCCTCTCCAGAGCTCTCCCCAGCAACTTAGCCCGGTGTCTCTGGGGGTTGCGCCCCTCGCCCCCGGCTAGCCCACAGTCTCTTGCCCAAAGTAGCGTGCCCGGCCACAGTAACAAAACTGATCTTTGGAATTGAAAAGAAGCCTCGGGCTCAGTAGCCAGGGCTGTCCTGGGTACCTAGACTCTGGAAAGGCCTCAGGCCCGACCCCACCGGCGGGCGAGCCCTGGCTGCAGACCCCGCGCAGGCTGCGGACCCGGTTGGGCCACCTCCCTGTCCCCTTCCCTCCCGCACGTCGGTCTCCTGGGACTATACTAAAGGCTCCTTTCTGCACCAGCGGAAATGCCGATTTCGCTCGACTCAAAGAACAGTTTTCGTTTTTCCCCTACCAGCAGATTTTTTAAGAATCCAATCTCGACTGAAACATGTGTTCCTCAGCCCTGTCCGGTTTGCACGTCTGTAGCCATTAACAAGCCTCCGGGACCAATGACCTGCTTTTATACTGAAGGAAATGCCGAGGCCTTTAAGAGTTAATGGCGCTAAATGTGTTGGTTTTCCTGCTTTTTCCCTGGAGAAGGTATGGGAGGGGGGATTCATATTCATTCCCATTCTCTCTCTCTCTCTCTCTCTCTCTCTCTCTCTCTCTCTCTCTCTCTCTCTCTCCCTCTCTCCCTCTCCCCTCCCCCCTTCCTCCCTCCCTTTCTGTCCCACCACCCCATTCGCCACTGTCTTTCCCTCCATTTCATCCCCAAAGCCTTTCAGCAGACCCTCTCATTCCCCCCAAATTCTAGTTCCCCAGCCCCTGGGTTGAGCCTTCCTCACCTCTCTACCCTGCCAGGGGGTCCTACCACCCAGGTCAGGAAAGAAACCTCAGCTGCCCAGCCCTGACCACCCTACTGCTGCTCCCACTAGACACACAAATTGCTCTCCCATGCCCACCCAAGTAGCACCAAGCTATTTTGATTATAGGGCAAACTGGCAGCCTACCCAGTCCCCTTCCTGAGAGCAACCTGTAGGGGCAGCTGAGAGAAGAGGGTAGGAAGTCTAGTGGAACAAGGCCTTCCAAAACCATCAGGTTTGAAGGGGCCTGTGGGTAGACTGGAAGAAACATGCTCTTTGGGAGAGACACATCCTTAGGGCAAGGGGCCTTGGGAAGTGACATGGAGGCTTTCCAATTTACCTCCTGACCCCAGGCTGGGAGATTCTGAGCTGGAAGCAATGCCTGGCCCTCTCTCAGGTCCAGTTGACCCAGCCTATCCTCAAATCCTGGCCTCTCCTTGGAGAGGGAGCTCTGCTCTTCTCCAAGACAGACTGGGGCCT